CGTAGATTCACAATATAGATAAGAGGAAGGAGCGATTACAGAAAATGCTTTCGAGAAGCATAGAGGGCTACAAGCATGGAAATTTGGTAGAGTTGACTTGTGTGGCTGGCCAAACAGGGCTCGGGGACAGAAACCACCTGCAATAATTGTGGCTTTGTGGCAAATTCGGGGCAACAGGTTTAGCATTAAGTTGAGGATCATGGGCAAGATCAGAGTTGGGGTTGGAATCAGGATTATGGTAAGGTTCGCTTGTATTGGCAAATTATGGTAAGAGTTAAGGACTGAGTTCGCGTTAACTGTGAGGCTTAGGTTTTAGGGTCGGGCTAGGGTTAACATAAGAGTTTAGTGTTACGGTAGGTTCAAGACACGGAAACATTTAACCTGGTCTAAATCTATCGCGAGACCAGTTATTTTAAGTGGTTGGCGCGCCTCTATTCTCTTGTACTGTTTAGACAGTCATATAAGTCGTCCTTACCGGAAATTTTATCATCTTTCTCAAGTCCTACCACGAAAGGTCTGAATTCGGAGTCATTTAGGTTGATGAGAACTCGTATACAGGAGGCAAGAAAACTTCAGGACTGAGATACTTCGGACTAAGGCACCTCGGACATTGAGAAACTTAATCAGGAACTCAACGCGTTATGAAAGATGCCTTTGTTTAACGAGGAACTTTAAGCGTATGATCAACAAGAAGAACGAAAACAGTTCCAAAATAAGAAGGAAAGCCAGTATCCGTCAAGTCAGCGGACATAAGTTTGCGATTAGAAATTGGGTTTTCAAATAACAAAGAGCAAGTTTATCGTAGTCCGTAGTTTTCTGCATCCGAGTCCTTCGACGATTAGGTTTCGTGTTTAGACGAATGCACCCATATGACCCAAATAGTTGCACACATAAAAAAGAATGTTTGGCAGATCATAGGTAAAGCCCTTCAAACTGTTCTTTACGTTAAAGGTTAAACAGTCGCCAGTGAACGTGACCTCCGGACAACCAAAAGAGAAAGCTGCAAAGTGTGCACTGACATTTCAAGGAGGCCTCGAAACTCTACTGCTGTCAGAAAGGACACAGCAGTCATGCAGAGGAAGAACTATCTTTATACACAAATGACTATATCCCAGCTTATTATTCAACAGTATCTCTACACGATACTGCGAAAAATATTCTTCCTGTGACGTCCGTATCCAGGAAATCAAACAAGTAATTCTCGCCACATCTAACCGCATCTCTACGACGATAGTCTTTACAGCAATTTGCCATATATTATTTTTTCAAATATCAAAAGGTCATGCCAGTTTGCCCGTAGCGAACGACTATGTACACCATGGACACCCAAGACGAAATGGGGGCAGGACGGTGAGTTGTGCCTGCCTGCTGTGACTTCCACAGCATCTGTAGCTCTCTCCTCACTGGATGCCAGACTACATAATACACTACTACCGCAAGGAGGGTTTTAAAACGCTGTTCTGCTCGCTGAGACATTTGCATGAACATGCATGACGTGTTTCAATAAGGCAAGTTTAATCAGTGCACTCTTCAACTCTCCATCTGTTACACACAGTGGAAGTATGTCTACACTTTAGTAACAAGAACGTCAAACGACCACAAGGGAAATGTTAAGAAATAAGACAGAAGTCGGCAACGCGAAAGAATTAAAAGTCACTAAGCAAGCAGAAATTTTAACAGGTGAAGCAATAGCAGGCAAGCACGAGTTACCTTAAGCGCAAGCAATTTGAAGTCCAGGTCAGTTAATTCACTCTCACAACTTTTCTGTTTTTTCCACAGAGAATCGCGTTCCTTCAGCAAAGCAAGGACATCGGTCTGCGAAACTTGAGTTCTACGAAAGAAAGACGTTGATTGACATTTAGAAAACAAAAAAAGTAAATCGGGAAGGCAATTAGGTGTGAGAGGGCAGAGCGCATGCAGCTATCCGCCAAAGTTTGGGGGAGCACAACGACCAGGGAAGGACGCGTTAAAAGCTGCATTCGGTTCATTTTGTCAGTAAAGACCCGTGCCTACCAGAGTAATACTGCTCTACGTAGGATAACAAGACAATGGTTGCCATCAACTGGGAGAAATTCTGGCTTCCCTAACTTATATGACAGGTTTAACAATCCCGCCACTTGTTTATCTGACATGCTTCAACTACAGCAAGTGAGGTCTGTCTGGATATTACCAATCACGCTTTTGTAGGATTTCCGTCAAGGAACCCTAGGGATTGATCTAAAACCAGGTTAAAATCCATTAGTTGATCGCATGTGACAAGTGACTAGCGAC